AGTGGCCTGGGACTGAGCCAGGGAAGGCTCAAGACCCAACAAAACCAACGTTTCAGTTTGAGTCCAAAGGTGGGAAAAAGCCAATGCCCCAGTTCAAGCAGTCAGGCAGGAGGAGCTCCCTCCTCCTCAGCCTTTTTGTTCTGCTCAGGCCTCTGATTGACTGGATGAGGCCCACCCACCTCAGGGAGGGCTTTCTGCTTTCCTGAGTCTGTGGATTCAAATGCTGATCTCACCCAGAAGCACTCTCACAGACACATGCAGAATAATGTTTGAACGAACGTCTGGGCACCCTGTGGCCCAGTCAAGTTGACGTGTAATGTTAACTGCCATCAGGCCCCTTCATTGTGTTTGTCTATGAAGCATCAACCTCAGGTATCTGAGGGGTCTGGAAGCAGGTTCTCTGGCCCCCTTTTTACAGAAGAGGACACTGAATCCTGGTTGTCACTTGCCCTCACTGGGTGAGGGGGGAGGGGTACTGGGATGTGTGAGCCCATTAGATTTACCAGCACCTGCCTGAAAAAGTATTTAATTTGCCTTTTACAATGCACGGATAGCAAGTTAATTAACTGGCAATTGAAAGTTATAGGTGGCATTAGAATTTATTAATTACATTGGAAATAAATCTCTCTGGAATTCAATTGAAAATTTCATGTAATTCTCTTCTTACAATCCATAAAACAGGTCTGGGAGGTGTTCCAGAAGCCTTGGGGATGGTTGGAATTGCAGGTGTGGGAGAGTTGGGGCAGGGAGGGGCTTCTGCTCTGACCTAGGCCAGTCTTGGATGCCCCTTTGCCCCACTACCTACCACCTCGGTCACTGTCTCTTAGGGTGTGCAATGGAGCCACTCTCCCATTGAGAATGTCCTGCCATCTGCAATGACTCACTGCACTGGTTCATCTGCTCTGCACTTGGCCCACAGGTGCTGAGAACAGAGATGTCACCCTGCACAGCGGATGCTCATAGCCAAGTGGGGGAGACAGAGCTGTGAGGGTGCCCTCTGGCTCCAGGGAGGTGAGGGCTGAGCCTGGGACCCCAATGGTACCTCAACACTCTGGCTGGGGCCCAGGGTGGAGTCGGGCCATCCTTGCCACTCGGGCAGAAAAGTTGTCCCTTTTAGGTCTTTGGGACACACCACAGGTAGGCTGAGAAGAGTGTGCCCTGATGGGAACCAATGAAGGCCAGCCCAGCCTGAGTTCCCTCCACACTGTGGCTACCATGTCAGGACACCTGCCAGAAGTCACTGTCTGAATGAAGGGTCCTGAATTTCTGCTTTGGCTGGTAGCTGACCATGGTGGGGCAGGGGTCCCTGGTTGTGGGCTGAGAAGCTGCATTCAGGCCCAGACTCTGGTCCCACAGCAGCCCTGCCTGCTAGGAGACCCTCAGACCGCCTCCTGCTGTGTGGGTGGAGAGGGAGGCCCCAAGTCAGGGCCCTGCAGGAACCTGCAGGCTCTCAGTGCCTTGCTCTGCCTGGGGCTCAGCTGGGCAGGGTGAGGACGAGAGGGTCCCACAGAGCTGGAGAGCTCAGTCACAGGGCAGGGCCTTGGGGACAACAAGCACTATGGCTAGACTCAGCTCAGCACCCTAGGGGACCTTTCAGACCCTAGGGCCTGGAAGGGAAGGTGTTACTGAGGTGGTGTCAGCCCCTTCCCCACCACACACACACCCGTGCAGGCACTCGTGCACACCCACTTGCACAAATGTGTACAGTATAGTAGATGTGCACATGCACACACAGTCAAGCACACATGCGCACATGTGTACACACAGGTACATGTGCACACTCACGTGCACTCAAGCACACATGTGTACACACACTGGTACATGGGCACACTTGCACACACACATTGGCACGCACTGCACACTTACACAGGCACACACATGTACAGCAGGGGCTGGAGCCAGATGGCCTTTGAGGAGAAATGGCAGGTTTGGTCTGGACACCCGGGCATAGGAGGGAAGTGTGTGCCTCACCTCATCCTTATTAAGGACCAGCTCACATTACAGGGCTCTCCCTCAGCCTTGACCCGTGGCACCGGAACCTCTTCTGGGGCACCTGCTACCCCAGCTTCTTCCAAGACACTCAGCAGTCCACCCTGTTGTGCGGGGTCTCTCATCAGAAGTTGTTTCCTTCCTTCATCACGCTCTGTCCCCATGGCTTTGAGGTGGGGCCAGAGAGCATCTGGACGCTCACCCCCTGCTCCCATCCTAGGGGCTCCCTCCAGACTATGCTGTCCCCACCCCCAGGCCTGCCCCAGACCACTCCAGGGCCCAGGGCCAGGGTACAAATGGGGGCGTCTCATGGGGTAAATATCTAACAGTTATGCATTGAGCTCATCAGCTGTTCTATCCTACCCAAATATCCCTTTCGAAGGACCTGGAGGTTTGACTGAACTGTGACTCCTCAGAGTTCTGTGCTGAAGCGTGGCAGCCAGCGGAGCCAGTCCCTGGTCCTTGAACCTTCCCAGTCCCCATGCTGGCTCCTAACCTGCACCATGGGGGGCTTCGTGTGCATGTGTGGACCCCCACCAGCATGTCTAAGCTCAGTCCACACCCTCCCAAAATAGCAGCCCCTCAGTTGAAGATGCAGACATGGATGGGGACGTGATCTGCCCTGAAGACAGGCAGAGACGAGGCCCGCACAGACCTGGGTGTGGGGCTCCTGGGGCAGGACCTTTTGGTGCAGGACAGTCTCTCTGTTAGGGTCCCATCTCTGTCTTCGGGTCTGGGAGAATTAATGCCTACTGGTCTGCTTCACTCAGGGGGAGAGAATTTAGTTCGTAGAGAGCACTGGTCCCAAAGTAGCTCCAGGGGGAGCACCTCTCACAAAGAGGGGGTGCTCAGGGCAGGGCATGGGAGTTGGAGTGAGCTGAGAACATGGCCCAGCCCTCCAGGAGGGGGATGTTCTAGGGAGACAATGCAAAGGCCTGGGGTGGAGTGGGGGTGCCCCACCCGAAGTTTCCAGCTGTGAACCCACGTCCTGCAGTGGGGAGGGGGCTGCCTCCACCTGGGTCCTGGATGCGTGGGCCTGACCCCAGCTGAGGGCTACAGATGAGGGCAGACCCCGAAGGCCCCCTCATGCACGGTGGGGGCAGTCCCAGCACAGCTCTGAGTCCTGGCTGGAGACGGCCGACAGGAACCCCTGGGTCCTCAGCGAAGGCTCAGGGAGAGGACCCACCCACTGCGTCCCAACAGAACCTGTGCCTGGGAAGCCTCTGGGACAATCACCTCCTGAGGCCAGAGGACCCCAGCGTCCCAGGAGAAACACAGGAGCACGTTGGTCCTCACTGCCCAGGGCGTGGAGCCCAGGGACCCCTCCTGGGGACCTGCCGGGGGTCCCGAGCAGGAGACGAGGTACTGCTGGCATGTCGGCTGCAAATGCTCTTCTGCTGAGAACGCAGGTCCGCTCGACTTTCATGTTTCTATGAAATGAGGGAGAGCGTGTCCCTTTGCAGCCCAAATAAGGCAAAGGAAACAGCCACGACTAACAGCAAGTCAGAGCGGCCACTCCTCGGCTCAGGGCTGCAATGGCTGTCCCCTTACTTCCTGGGAGGAAGAGCCGCCATCTGGACATGGCCCCAGGAGTCCTTTGCCCCACCTGTGACAAGGTCCCTGTGACCTTGTTTCTTCCCTCACTCTGCTGCAGCCACCCTGTCTTCCTCGATGTCCCCTGAGTGCTGGGGGTGGTGGTGGGGGTGGGGACCTGCTCAGGATTTGGGCCCTTGCAGCTCCCTCTGCCTAGAATGTTCTTCTTGTTCAGAGCCGCTTGGCCCATCCCTCACGGTGCACGTGTTCCCTCGAACGCCGCCCTCCCAGCGAAGCCCTGCCCGACCCCCTGTCTAAGACTGAAATCGCCAGCCCCGCAGCCCTCAGCTTCTGCAGGCTTATCCCTTCTCGCACGCCCGTATTTACTTTAAAAATGTAAATATACTTTTGCCTATTTTGTCTCCTCCCCACCGCCCCCTGCACAGGAGCAGGGATTCTGGTCTCGTTCACTGAGGCAGGGTCCGGCTCAGTTAAGGTGCTCAGGGAAAGACCTGTACGTGAAGGAAGGAAGGGGGCAATGACGCGTGGTTTCAAGACTCCTGCCCTGGGAAAAGTCATCAAAGGGCCGAGAACCACTCTCCTGCCAAGACATACTCGCACTCCCTGCCTGGGACAGTTGCTGGGCCGTCCCTGCTAAGGTGTGGCTTCAGGCCCCTGCCCCACCCCGGGTCCCCCCTGTTGCTGAGTGAGCTGCACCAGCCAGGCCCAGGACCATGTGGCTGGAGAAACAGTCACAAGCCAACAGGGCCAGGAAGTGGGGGCTCCTGCTTAAGGAACATGTCACACACGTGTCAGCAAATAGAAGCAGGACGGGCTCCAGCAGGCCGTGTCTCTGTCTCTGTCTCTCCTTCCCTCCCTCCGTCCCTCCGTCTCCTTCCCTCTGTCTTTCCCTCCTTCTCTCCCTCCCTCTCCTTTGGTTTCTGGGTCCTGGTCTCCTGCCGCACGATCAGCGGCCGCCCTCTGTTTAACGTCCGTCTTTGTTCCTGGACTTCACGCTCCAGGCAGGGGCTGGGCTCTGGTTTGTTGCTGGACACTGGGCACATGGCAAACACTTCATCTGTACACAGGTCACAGGGTGATCCAGAAGGCATCGGGAACTCAGGCTTCTCATCAGAGTATATGGGCTTCCCTGGGGTCCCAGGGAGGGGGACACATTGCTGACCCCAGGTCTGGGCAGGGGCATGGGCAGGGGAGGGGCCCCTTGGCCGAGGCCTCCGTACCTTCACTGTGCTTCCTGCAGAGCTGGGGCCAGGCCAGCACTCTCGGGTGGAGGGTGGGGCAGCCTCGGAGGGTTCTGCCCAAGCTGCTCTCAGTCTCTTAGCTCCTTCCTGGGGCTCCTGGGGGCAGAGCTGAGGCCCCCTGCCTCAGAGGCCTTGTGTCCACCTGGGCCTGGCGGAAGCTGCTCACACCTGGCACCCAGTCAGCCTCCCTCACAGCCGCCACCACACAGACAGACCCACGGTGGGGAAGCTCCTTTATTGTCACATACAGCAATGACGTTACAGGCTGGTGGTGCCGGTCAGGCTTCCCGCCACCTCTGACCACCCCTCCATGAAGATAGAGAGTGGCCGAGGGCGGGGAGGGGCTACCAGGGCCTTGTGGGACCAGCCACAGCTTCATACAAGCACCGAGAGCACCAGGGACGGCTGCTCCTGCGAGGAGGAGAGACTTGTGCCCAAGTGGTGCCAGCACCTTTGATTCGATTCTCTGAGTTTGCTGCCATGGGTGAGTCTCAGGTCCTGACCCAGTGAGAGAGGAGCAGCAGGGCCAGGCTTGTCACAGGAGCCCAGGCCAGAGAGAACTTGAGGGCTGCGGTCTGAGCTGCTCTGGGCCTCTGGGGACCCCACGTCGGCTGTGGAGCCTGCCAGGCCCCAGCCCAGAGGGGCAGGAGCATCTCTCCCCAACAGGCCTGGGACTCTAGCCGCTTACCTCTCTGCAGTTTGACAAGGGGACATTGGGCTTGCCATGTCACGCAGAAGGGGCAGACCCTGCAGATCTCCCAGAGAGACCGGGAGGGACAGGGGCTGCAAGACATTTCCATTAAATGCTCCCTCCTTCTGGCTTGGGGGTGGGGGCAGGTGGGATCAGCACCTGGGAGGCAGGGGCGGGTGATGCCAATCTGGTTTGGGGGCCCTGGAACCCCCAACGCTCCTCTTACATGGTCCCCAAGTCCGTGTGGCTGTCAGTGGTTTATTCATGGTCTCCCCAGCCTCTGGGAGCAGCTATAGGCCAGGCTGCCCCCAGCCCGTGAAGCAGACCCCAAACCCTGGTGAAGGGGTTGAGGAAGGAGGCCCAGGGCCCTGCAGTCTGGGATGTGCCATGCAGCCTGTCCTTCCTGGCTGGCTGTCCAGTCTCGCTTTGGCCCTGCCACCTTGGGAGTCATCCCTGCCCTGCGCCCTCCCTGTCTGAGTTTCCTCATGAAGAGAAGCTGGCAGGGTTGAGAGACCGTGGCTTCAGGAACCGAGAGGCCTGGGTTCAAGTCCTGCCCCAGCCAGCCACGATCTGGTGGCTTTGGGGGTTATTTATACCCCCCGAGCCTCAGTCCTCCGTGTAAAGTGGGGATAATAATCCTACCTCCTAAGGGTTAAATGAGACAATGTAAGGAAAGCTCCTTGGACAGGCCCAGACATAGCAGGGACTCCATACACGATGAGTATTATGGTTATTCTCACGCCCACTGCCCAGCCCACCCAGACCCCGTCTCCAGCGGGAAGTGAGGGTGGGGAGGGAGGGGCAAGGGAAGGGCTCTGCAGCGGGTGCTGGTTCCCCCTGGACCTTGTCCCTGGAGGTGCCATCTGTTCCCCAGACCCCCAGGCCCCGGGAGCCAGTGTCCCTCACAACCGTCCATGCCTGGAGCCCAGCCCCACTCAGGGCGTCTTCAGGCCTCAGGGGCTGGGTCTCTGGTCAGGGGGGGGCTTGTCCTGGAGACCTGGGCTCTTACTTCCTGTCGCTGGCCCCATCAGCGTTCTTCTGCCCAGGGTTGGGACCAAGCAGGGCAGCAAGGGCGCCATCAGCATGAGGGCCACCGCGCTTCATCTTGAGGCTGGCTCTCAGGGCGGCATCCTGGCTGGAGCCCCCCTCAGGGGAAGCCAGGGGATCTGGAGGGAGAGCAGGAGGGTGGGCTCGAGACAGAGCTTTGGGAGGACTTGGAAGCATTTTGCTCCTGGGACCTGTCCAAGGAGAGAAGCCCTTGTCTGGACAAAGCAAAGCAGCATCGGGCTTTTGGCTCCTCATCCACTCGTTCACTCACCCATCCATTCATTCACCCATCCATTCATTCACCCATCCAGCCATTCATTCATTCATTCATTCATTCATTCACCGTTCAACACATGCTGAGGAGCCTGGGCTCCAGGCCCTGCAGAGGTCCCCACTCTGCGCCAGGGGCTCCCAGCGTGCGAGGGAGAGACATGGAAACAACACCCCATTATGGAGTGGAAGGCTCCTCAGAGCCCTGTAGAACAAAGCGGAGGGCTCAGGGCAGGCTTCTCAGAGGAGGACGTCTTTGAGCAGGCCCTGGAGTGGGAGTCGTGTTCACCAGGTGGAGGGACCAGCCTGAGCAACGGTGTGGAGGTGGGAGGGAGCCTGGCGTGACTGGGTGCTGGTCTGTCACTGGGCACGGGGCTATGCTGGGTAGCGTCGTGGGGAGCTGGGCTGATGCACCTGGATGTCTGTCATGGGCAGGAGGGACTTCTGGGGGTCCCTGAGCAGGGGAGGGACAAGGTCAGACTGGGGTTTGGCGAATACCATCTGACAGCGGAGTGGAGGGGCCACTGAGGCAAAGAGACCAGAGACCCAAGGCAGTTGCCGTGAAGGCAGCAGTGAGCTGAGGGAGGAGAGAGGTTCCCAGCGTGGTGGCCCTGGTCACGACTCACCGTGGATCCCAATCATGTGCTCCAGAATGAGGACCCTCTCGGCCAGGATCTTCAGGGCCTCCCGCAGCTGCTGCACCCCCTCGCCCTGGCAGGGAGGAAGTGGCCAGGGTCAGGGCCGGCCATGGGAGGGAGTCGGGGCCAAGCTGACACAGGGCACATGTCCCTGCAGCCCTGCCCTCCTGTCCCGTCCCACTGCCACCATCATCACTACAAATAGCCACCCTAGTTCGAACATCCCCTGTGTGCCAGGCTGGGGTCCAAACCTTGCTCACAGATGAGCAACCCAGAGTGCAGAGAGACTCAGCATCCCTCCCTACGGCCATGCAGCCTGGAAGGGGCTGATCTGGGCTTCAAACCGGACCTGTAGCCTCCAGCCGGGGCTCTTCTTTCTACCATGGTGGCTTCTCCTGCGTGCCCTATTTGCCGCATAGGAAATATTCTCTAATATTTTTCTAATGCAGGCAGAGCTCCCAGCACTGGGCCCTGCAGGTGGGAGGCCCTGTGCCCGTTTCCTTCTTGGACGGCCCAACCAAGAGCATCTGCCAGATCAACGCTGCAGAGCAGCAGGGACAGGCCAGGTGTGCCCACACCAGGCCAGAAACAGAGACAGGGCACCGCTTGGAGAGCGCTGGCAGCTGAAACAAAGACGGAGCCATTCATTCATTCATTCATTCATTCATTCACCGTTCAACACATGCTGAGGAGCCTGGGCTCCAGGCCCTGCAGAGGTCCCCACTCTGCGCCAGGGGCTCCCAGCGTGCGAGGGAGAGACATGGAAACAACACCCCATTATGGAGTGGAAGGCTCCTCAGAGCCCTGTAGAACAAAGCGGAGGGCTCAGGGCAGGCTTCTCAGAGGAGGACGTCTTTGAGCAGGCCCTGGAGTGGGAGTCGTGTTCACCAGGTGGAGGGACCAGCCTGAGCAACGGTGTGGAGGTGGGAGGGAGCCTGGCGTGACTGGGTGCTGGTCTGTCACTGGGCACGGGGCTATGCTGGGTAGCGTCGTGGGGAGCTGGGCTGATGCACCTGGATGTCTGTCATGGGCAGGAGGGACTTCTGGGGGTCCCTGAGCAGGGGAGGGACAAGGTCAGACTGGGGTTTGGCGAATACCATCTGACAGCGGAGTGGAGGGGCCACTGAGGCAAAGAGACCAGAGACCCAAGGCAGTTGCCGTGAAGGCAGCAGTGAGCTGAGGGAGGGGAGAGGTTCCCAGCGTGGTGGCCCTGGTCACGACTCACCGTGGATCCCAATCATGTGCTCCAGAATGAGGACCCTCTCGGCCAGGATCTTCAGGGCCTCCCGCAGCTGCTGCACCCCCTCGCCCTGGCAGGGAGGAAGTGGCCAGGGTCAGGGCCGGCCATGGGAGGGAGTCGGGGCCAAGCTGACGCAGGGCACATGTCCCTGCAGCCCTGCCCTCCTGTCCCGTCCCACTGCCACCATCATCACTACAAATAGCCACCTTAGTTCGAACATCCCCTGTGTGCCAGGCTGGGGTCCAAACCCTTGCTCACAGATGAGCAACCCAGAGCGCAGAGAGACTCAGCATCCCCCCCTACGGCCATGCAGCCTGGAAGGGGCTGATCTGGGCTTCAAACCGGACCTGTAGCCTCCAGCCGGGGCTCTTCTTTCTGCCATCGTGGCTTCTCCTGCGTGCCCTATTTGCTGCATAGGAAATATTCTCTAATATTTTTCTAATGCAGGCAGAGCTCCCAGCACTGGGCCCTGCAGGTGGGAGGCCCTGTGCCCGTTTCCTTCTTGGACGGCCCAACCAAGAGCATCTGCCAGATCAACGCTGCAGAGCAGCAGGGACAGGCCAGGTGTGCCCACACCAGGCCAGAAACAGAGACAGGGCACTGCTTGGCGAGCGCTGGCAGCTGAAACAAAGACGGAGTCTACGTTCCCAGGATCCGGTCTACACACGGGCAAAGGACCTCGTGCATGGGGACACATGAATGAGCTGAGATGGGGTGCCGACTTATTGAGAAGACAGGTGTCAAGGCCACTGTCCCCAGCCAGCCCAGCCCTGGCAGTTGGCAGCCAAACGAGCACCTTTTGCTGGTGTAACCTGACAGATCTGTGTTCAGATTAATTCAGCTTAAGATGAAACAAAAGGAAACCAAGAGCACCCTACTGGGTGACAGCAGAGAGGTGTCCCCACCAGGGACAAAGGCACTGGAAAGCAAGCTGAGTGCAGTGTCTGGGAAGGGGGATGTCGATGTCCCCAACTCAGGGAGAGAGCTCTGGGCAGGAGCAGGGGCTTCCAGGTCCCCTCTGTCAGGGCCCTGGCTCAGCCTCATGTCCCTGAGCCATGGGTTGTGCGTCTTGTGAAATGGGGTCGGGGGGTCTTGGGTAACTTCTCAGCTCCCATCGCAGTGGCCTGTGCATCTGGGCTGCTCCTCAGCAGCTCTGACCTCTCCTTCCTCGCTGCCTCCTGCACCCACCCTGGCTGCTCCATCCTCTTCTCCTCCTCTGCTTCTGCAAGGACCTCCCGAAGGTCCCCCAGCCCCTGCCTTGCCCCTGCCCACCTCCCCCACTTGGCAGATGCCCCAGCTCACTCCCCAATGGCCTGTGCTGGGACCCACCTAGGGGAGGGGAGCCCCCTCGGGCACATTCATTCTCAGCTTTCGAGGCCTCCCCTGCACCTCCAGAAGGCAGGGTCCCCCCGGCCTCCAATCCTCACTCCTCAGGTTCCCAGCTCGAACCCCCTCCTCCTCTGTCCGTCCCCTCCCACGTCCCCAGCTGTGCATCCTTCTGCCCACCAGCGCCTTGACCCTGTGGGTGCGTCCTTATGCCAGGCCCTGATCATGGAAGACCCTGTTCCCTGATAGTGACCCCACAGCCTGAAGCCTCCTTAAGAGAGTCTTTTCTACAGGTTCGCGGCTGCTCTGCCCCTTGGGAGGCTCCCCACTCCCACCCCGCAGGGCCAGTCACCCTAAGATGAAACAAAAGGAAACCAAGAGCACCCTACTGGGTGACAGCAGAGAGGTGTCCCCACCAGGGACAAAGGCACTGGAAAGCAAGCTGAGTGCAGTGTCTGGGAAGGGGGATGTCGATGTCCCCAACTCAGGGAGAGAGCTCTGGGCAGGAGCAGGGGTTTCCAGGTCCCCTCTGTCAGGGCCCTGGCTCAGCCTCATGTCCCTGAGCCATGGGTTGTGCGTCTTGTGAAATGGGGTCGGGGGGTCTTGGGTAACTTCTCAGCTCCCATCGCAGTGGCCTGTGCATCTGGGCTGCTCCTCAGCAGCTCTGACCTCTCCTTCCTCGCTGCCTCCTGCACCCACCCTGGCTGCTCCATCCTCTTCTCCTCCTCTGCTCCTGCAAGGACCTCCCAAAGGTCCCCCAGCCCCTGCCTTGCCCCTGCCCACCTCCCCCGCTTGGCAGATGCCCCAGCTCACTCCCCAATGGCCTGTGCTGGGACCCACCTAGGGGAGGGGAGCCCCCTCGGGCACATTCATTCTCAGCTTTCGAGGCCTCCCCTGCACCTCCAGAAGGCAGGGTCCCCCCGGCCTCCAATCCTCACTCCTCAGGTTCCCAGCTCGAACCCCCTCCTCCTCTGTCCGTCCCCTCCCACGTCCCCAGCTGTGCATCCTTCTGCCCACCAGCGCCTTGACCCTGTGGGTGCGTCCTTATGCCAGGCCCTGATCATGGAAGACCCTGTTCCCTGATAGTGACCCCACAGCCTGAAGCCTCCTTAAGAGAGTCTTTTCTACAGGTTCGCGGCTGCTCTGCCCCTTGGGAGGCTCCCCACTCCCACCCCGCAGGGCCAGTCACCCTACCTGTGGCACCCCCATGGCAGCAATCTGTACACCGTCCTGCGGTCACGACCACCCCGAGTGTCTCCCCCACTGGGCTGTGAACTCCTCCAGGGCGGGGACCCTATTCACCCCACGGCCCAACACCCAGCTCAGGGCCGGCTGAGGCTGTCAGTACAGATCTGGGGTACCTGCCACCCCCACGCACTCACAGCCAAGGGCACAGGAGGGGAAGCGCGGGCCATGGCACAGTTACCTCTGCAGAGGCGGCGGCCTTCTCCCCGTCCTCTCCCTTCACTCTAGGCTCACCCTAGGAAGCAAGTCACGCAGTCAACAAGCAGTCGCCCCAGCTTCTCAGGCAGACTTCAGGGGCCCACAGGGGGTCAAGGGCGGGCTGGACAGGCAGGGCTTGGGGGCAGGGGCTGGGCCAGGGCCAGTTACTGTGTGACCTTGAGCAAGTTGCTGTACCTCTCTGTGCCTCAGTTTTCTCACCTCTAAAATGGGGGTGATAATAGTACCTATGTTGTGGAGTTATTAGGTGAATTAAGTACATCAGTATTGACAATGAGCTTAGACTAGAGCCTGTCACCTAGACAGGCCATCAAAGTGTCCACCATTGTTATTTGTCACTAGACAGAAGCGCAGGAGGAGGGGTGGCTTTGCAGGCTGACACTCCTGGGTTTAAATCCCAGCTCGACTGCTGCCTAGCTGTGTGACCTTGGGCATGTTACTTAACCTCTCTGAGCCTGAGCTGCCAGTTCCGGCAAATGGAGATAAGAGAGCGCGGCCTCCCAGGGCCGCTCTGAAGCATGTGCTGTGGACAAAGAGCACCTGCATCGTGGCCAGCACATAGTAGGTGCTCGGAAAAAAGCCCTCCTCCTCCCCTGCCCCAGGCCCCTAAAGCAAGGCTCGGGCAGGAAGGAAGCGCCTGCTTCCTTGGCCCTGGAGGCACAAGACGAGACTCATAAATTTCTGTTTCCGAGAAGGGCAATTAGAGGCCAGCTGTCTAAGCCTCTTATTTCTGGGAGGTTCAGGGAAGGGAAGGGACTCGGCGGGTCACACAGCACATTAACACGGGGCCCAGGTCACCCAGCGTGTTACCCCCTGAGTCCGGGCTCCCTGCAAGAGAACTTGAGACTCTCGTCCAACCCTCCTGAGGCTGCTGCCCTCCTCAGCTCCCCTGGCAGCAGCTACTCCAGCCCCTGCTCACACACTCCCGGGGAGGGGCCTCCCAGGTCGCCCCGTCTCAATTTGGGCAGCTTGGCCTGCACCATTTGCCCCGTTCCCTCCTTCTGCACCCCCCACCCTGGTTGGGTTGCAGACCACGGGGCTGAGCTCAGGCGAGGCCACCCAGGACAGACCTCCCCCACCCTAGCACCCTGGCCTGCACCAGGGCCCACTGCCCCGGGAGTGGCCCCGGTGCCCCGCCATGCACTTACAGACGGCCCAGCCGTGCCCTGCTCCCCAGCCAGGCCCTGCAGAAGATCAAACAAAGCCTGTGAGGACCTGCCTGTCCTTGCCCAGTCGCCAGTCTCCCCTCCCGCACCCTCCCCTGGGGCTCCAGGTCTGAAAAGGAGGACGAGGGGAGGATGGCATGGGGGACACGGGAAGGCCAGACTCTGGGGATGCCCAGGCCCCGGGCCGCCCTCCACGGCCGGTGTACAGAGAGGAGGGCCCTCAGACAAGTGACTGCAACGGCCATGGGGACGGTCCCAGGTGTGCTGACACCCAGCCCAGACAGGTCCCTGGGGCCCCAGGCCTGTGTGTCCAGTCGTCCTCGGACACCTGCACCAGCGGACCAGGGGCACCCGCTCCACCTCTCTCCAAAGGGGAACTCCTGGGCCCCCACCCCACAGTCTCCCCTTCTCAGGAGATGGCTCCGTGGTCCCCCTGGCCCTGGGCACACCTGGGAGGTGACCTTGAGCTGCCCTTTCCTCACTCGCCAGATTCACTGCATCAGCTGGACCGTCAGCTCCGCTTTATAAATATGTCCCTTCACTTTGCCATTTCCACTGCTGCCACCATAACGCAAGCCGGCTTCATGTCCCCTCCCTGCGCTATCCGGCTCCTTGTTTCCATCCCCACCTTCCATCCCCCACAGCAGCCAGAGGGGCCTTTCACAAAGTCACCCTCCCTGAAACACACTGAGCTCCCTCCACCGTGATGACAGCCCACGCCTGGGCCCCGCAGGTGACGCCTGCCCGTGCCACCTTGTCCCTCCCACACTGTCCTTTGCTCAGCACCGGCCTCTTCCCTGCCTCAGGGCCTTTGCGCAGGCTCTTCGCTGTCTGGAACTGATGGGCCCACCTTCCCTGGGACCCCCAGCCAGATGGGCTGGCTCCCCCCTGGGTGACTCATACTGGTAAGGAGAGACTGGCTTCTTCTCTCCCAGGAGACCCCCAGCCTGCACCCCACACTATGCTAGAAAGGGCAAAGTCCTTACCTGGGATCCGGGTGTTCCTGGGGGTCCTGGGGGACCATGTGGTCCAGGGGGACCTATGGGCAGAGTCACAGATGATCACCTGGGGCCAGAGAACCCCACTGCCCGTCCCGCCCCCCATGAGCTCTGGAGAGGGACCCGCCCGGCCTCCTGCTCCCGGCACCTGCCCTGGGCCTGTCTCCATGGGCAGTAAATGAAGTTTGTGGAATGATGGTGGGGGGGGGGAGGCACACGCTGCCCCTCCCAGGGCCTCGTCCGTGTGGCCGTCCCAATCCCGAGACCTGGGAGACCATGGAGGGAGTCCGTCCACACTGCCCCCCACTCCCCAGCCAGCCAGCCTCCTGGTGAGTCTCTCTCACGTCGGCCCCGCCTTGAACTCAGCCCCCTCTGAGGCCACCCCTGTCGCCTGGGTGACTTTAAAAACCTCCAGACCTTCCGCTCTCCATGTGGCCACCCAGAGCAAGCTTTTAGAAATGCAAACCCGGTTAGGCACCTTTCAGGGCCCCTGAAGTCCTCAGCCGGGCCCCTTCCCACCCTCACCCCCCACATGCCCTTCTGGAAAGTTCCTCTGCTTTGCCAAACCTGTTCTTTCCTCCTAGAGCTTCCCTGTCTCTCCACTTTCCCCGCAAACTTTCCTGTTGGT